GAAACGGGCGGAGCGGGTGGCCAGGCAGAGGAGAGGCTGGAGCCCCATGAGCACCTTGGGGAGGAGGCCGGGCGGTGGGACTCACAACTGCCGTCTGCCCTGCAGGGCCAGCTTCGCCCCTGCCTGCCTCTCCCACGAGATCATCACCCGCAGGTCAGTGTTCCCGGCCCCGGGACACCCGGGGCACCGGCCCTCCACACCTCCCTGCTTCCTGCAAAAGCCTCCCTGGGGATTCTGCGGCCTCACCGCGCAGTCAGCCACACTGCAGGAAAGAAGCCCGGCCCCGCTCCCGTGGTGGCGACACCCCTGCTTTCTATCTGCAGCCACTGGACGGACATCCAGGTGAAGGGCACCTCACTGCCCCGAGCATTGCACTGCTGGGATCGGAGCCTCCATGATAGCCACAAGGCCAGCAAAGCCCCCCTGAAGGGCTGCCCTGTCCACCTGGTGGACAGCTGCCCCTGGCCTCACTGTAACCCTTCGTGCCCCACCATCCGCGACCAGTTCACCGGGCAGGAGATGAACGTCGCTCAGTTCCTCATGCACATGGGCTTCGACGTGCAGGCCGTGGCCCAGCAGCAGGGCCTGGAGCCCAGCACGCTGCTGGGCATGCTGAGCAGTGGGAGCTAGGCGCCTGCAGCCCCTGCGTGTCAGCGCCCCAGTGCAGGCACCCCAGTGCAGGCCCACCCTCTGCCAGCCCTCTCTGGCCCCACCGCCTCAGGGGCCACAGCCTGAGGCAGGAGCTCTCCTGGGCCCAGCTATGACCTGATCCCCATCACCCCTAGCCTGCGGAGGGGCCAGAAGCCAGAGAAAGCACTGGGTTCCCCTTACTCCCAGACAGCCCCGGCCTGCCCTGCCCCAATCCCTTTTGTATTATTTTATGAAGTGACCTTTTTTTATTACTTTAATTTTTTAAGGAAAGAAAATTATCAAGAAATATATGATGAATTATATTGTTTTGTAACATATTTTTTAAATAATGAAAGAAAACGTGACAAGAGAACTCACCCACGCACCCGTGTACTTGAATGGGCTGCGGAGGCATGGGAAGGCCCGGGGCCAGAGGAGTGACCCCTCCCTGCAGGCGCAGACCCCTTCAGGGCCTGTTCTGCACCCTGCCCCAGCCCACGCTGGCCTTCCCTGAGGAGGGTTGGGTTCTGTTCAGTAACGGTCCAGCTCACCTTTCTTTTGGCTTTTGCTGGGATGGAATTCGAGGGTCCCAAGGAAAGCCGTCTGAGAGTGAATTGCCTGGCAGCTCGTGCCCTCAGGCGTGGCCAGCAGCCCTCTGGTCTGGAAACGCACCCCTAGAACACGCCCCGTGGAAGCTGGTGTGTGGTTCCACCTCGACGGGGCCTTTGCGCTCACATGCCAGCAGGAAGGCCTCCAGCCCAGCTCTAAGCCACGCTGTGCTCTGCTTCTGGCCGTGGCATTCCCACAGATCCTGGTAGATAGGCGTGCACATACCACTTTCCTGACCCGTGAGTACACACCACATGTGTCGTCTCCTCTTCTCATTCATGGCCGTGTCGGGTGGGGAGAGCTGCTGTGGACCTGGCCTTGCTGGTCCTCCAACGGCTGCCCTTGCTGGGTGGCCACGATGCCCGCAGACAGCCTCGTGTGCACCCAGCTCTACACATGGCAAATGTGGCCAGACTGCCACACAGTGCACCCTGCAGTCCCACTGACACCTGACCTGGGGCACAAACGTTCCTGGCATCGGCCCCCGTAGCCACATGAGGCAGGCTCTGTCCTAAGCTCCACTCACAGATAAAATGGTGGGCTCAGAGAGGCCACGCGATCACCCCGAGGAGGGCTAGCACCAGGCCAGCCTCTGACTGCAACATCAGGGAGCCACAGTCAGAGCGTGGCCTTTGCCCTCCGTGAACCCCAACCAAATTCAATATAAGGTGTGTGTGTTCACTGGAGAGAGAGGGAAGTGAGACACCATCCCAGGGTGGCTACTCTGCAATCCCTTCTCCGTTCTCTCAGGATTGGGGGCACACGTGCACGGGAGCCTGGCACATTTTTCAAGCTGCTGGGTCCAGAACTTGAACCTTGCAGTTAGCCGTGTGGGATCCACCTGCCGTGACCACCACGCCACCAGGCTGGCCTCCCATTTTGACTTTCAGCTCTGCTAAAGGAAGTAAGGAGGTCAGAAATGCCTGGGAGAGCTCGCACGGCCACCTATCAGCTCCCCACTCAGAAGGGCCCTCCAGAGACCTCCCAGACCACGTGGGGCACTCACATGCCCATGGTCCAGGGCCAGCTGGACCTGGGTGCCAAGGTTCAGGTCATGCCAAGACCCCATGGGAGCTCCTCCCTCTCACTTACGGAAGAAATGAATACAGAATTTAAAACTAGATCAATAGAAGGCAGCTCTGACTGCCCTCTGTGCAGCGGGGCTCCTACTTCTCATCCCACACATCGTCCCTCCTCCCTAAGCCCTGGCCAATCAGCCCTCCGACCGCCAGGCCCTCAATCCAGTCTTAGCCAACGTCACTGCGTGGAGCGGCTTGCACAGAGCAAAGGAGGCGGCCCCACATCCTCCTCGTACTGCGAGTGTCCGTTTTATGGCTGGTTTACAGCCTGATGTCGACCACACGGGCTTGGTGTGGGCACTGGACAGCTGCCGCAAGGACTTGGCCTGCAAATCGAAACGCCCATCAGAGGGACAGAAATCGACACCTGATGGGGAGTGTGACAAGGAAACCCAGGGCCTTCGTGACGCCTGGTCCACGTGATTGACTTCCAGACCCTCGCAGCCCACACTGTAAAAGCGATCCCTCTCCAAGAGTCGGGTTAGGTTACAAGAACGCGTTGAAGTACACAAACGTGCACCTAGGGGCAGCCAGCTGCCCTCCGGCAGACTCTGTCCTCCAGGAGAAGAACAGGCTGCCTGGAGACATCACTTGCCAGGGCCGGGTGGTGTCTGGGAGAGGACAAAGCCACTGTGTCTCACTGGCCACCAGACGGTCAGCGCGGCCTATCACCTCTGCTCCCAGGACGCGGAGGGACTTATCCCTGCTCTGGAGCAGTTCCGGGACAACGGTGCTGGCTCCCAGGCAGGGGCTCAGCCAGCGAGGCTGCCACCACACTTCTGACCTTCGCTACAAACTGGGATTCCCACGGCCCCCTCCTTGGGGCGACTCGTTTGCTGGGGCAGCTTGTAGGACACAGGGACACGCTACCTGCGTCTGCTGGTTTATCAGGCAGGGTGTCAGGAAGGACGCAGACGGCAGCTGTCAGAGGACAGGGCTGCCATGCCTCCTGGGCCCCCTCTAGGAACCTCCAGGAGCTCAGGTCTGAACGCTCCCCCACCCAGGCTGGCCGGTCCCTTCCGGAGGCCCCGCCCACCAGGGTTCAGCTCCTTGCCCCTCCCCGGAAGTTGAGGGTGGGACTGAGAGTTCCAGCCCTCCAATCACAAGTCTGGTTCCCTGGCAACCGGCCCCATCCTGAGGTTCTCCAGAGTGGCCTCATTAGAACAAAAAATGCTCCCGTCACTCCGGGAATCACGGTTTAGGGATCTAGGGCGGAGCCAGACAGACTCCACGCTGAGAACCACACTTCTTCCCACCTCCCTACATCCCGGTCTGCCTGCGGGCTGGGGGCAGAGCCCAGTGTGTCCGCACTGGCAGGCCCCAGGCGGGACAAGCCTGGGCCATCCTGCAGTGCCAGCGGGCGAGGACGCGGCACACACGCATGCTTCGTGGCAGAGAGGATGTGAAGAGCGTGGAACCAGTCCCGAGAGCTCCCACCGGCCCAAGCTCGGCTGAGTCAGGGAGTAACCGCAGAGCTGTGGCTCCTGGCCCCCAGTGCGAACGAAGCCTGGAGTCCACAATGCCACAGATGAAGGCAGAACAACAGGGCCAGCCTGTGGCATTGCTGGATCCCACGGGGCCCACTGCAGGTCCAAGTCCCAGGGCTGGCAACTTGAAAAACACGTTCACATATATGTAAATGTGTGTGTCCCAAATCCCAACAGGATGGAGAAAGGAGAAGGGTTGTGGCGTGCCCACGCCCCAGCCGTGGCACATTTAAACGAGTAAGGGAGGAAAGACAAGCCCCCATGCGGAGGGACTCCCAGTGACTCCCAGATGCTCTGGTCCAGGAGCACCCCCTCAGCCAGTGACAGTGGGGGGCTCCAGAGAGCACAGGACAGGGAGGGGAAGCGCAACCTCGCCCTCAGCAGGTGACCAGGGCCACGGCGCGTGTGGGGCCGTGCAGACGCATGGCCATGATGTGACGGGTGAGCGGGCTCGGCCTCTGGGCTCTTCCTCCCCCAAGCCTATCCCCAGCCTGAAGAGGAGCCAGGCACCAAGCAACCCCTCAGGAGGGACAGTGTGCAAGACACCTGCCCACGCCCCACACAGTCAAGGCCGCGAGAAACAAGGTCAAAAATGGTCATAACCAGACAGCAGAAGGGAACATGATGACTCAGTGTTCTGTGGGGTCCTGGAGGGAAACCTGGGGCCAGGAGGTTGCATAGTGGCTAAGGCATCGGACTCCCACATGGCAGACTGCACAGTTCGAGTCCTGGACCTGGTGGATTGAAAATCACACTGGGTGTGTGTGAGTGTACGTGTCCAAAATCCTGAAAGGAGAATGGAGGAGAAGGGTTTGTGGTGTGGCCATCCCCCTTAAGGGGGTGATTTCTCACTCTCCCTCTCTCAATCTCTCTAGTGAGCACACATACCCTATAGCAAAAAAATGAAAAAAAAAAATTTTTGTAAGAGCAAATTTTGTAAGTGCAAGGTGGTTGTTTCACTCTGTCTTGTTTTCAGTTTGCTATACAATGCATGCACTCTCCCACGAGAGAGACAGAGATAGAGAAAAAGTGAGAGATCACCCCCCGAGTGGGAGATGGCCACACCACAATCCCTTCTTCATTCTCCTCTGGGAATTTCTTTCTTTCTTTCTTCTTTCTTTCTTTCTTTCTTTCTTTCTTTCTTTCTTTCTCTTTCTTTTTCTTTTTAAGAGAGAGATTTTTACTATAGGACACATGTACTGGCCAGAGAGACAGATAGAAAACAAGAAATCACCCTCCAGGGGAATGGCCCGCCACAGTCCCTTCCCCTCCATTCTCTCCTTGGGATTTTGAGCACGCACACACACATCCCGTGTGAGTTCCAAGTCACCAGGTCCAAGACTCACACTGCAGTCGGCCACGTTGGAGTCCAGCACCTTGACCACTACGCCACCTGCTGGCCCCTCCTCAGGATTTTGGACAAGCACACGCACATGCACACACAGTGTGCTTTTCAAGCTGCTGGTTCTGGGACTTGAATACGCAGTTGGCCATGTGGGTCCAGCTGCCTTACCCACCACGCTACCTGCTCACCCACAAGGGTTTTATTCACACAGGAATGTAAGTAGAGCCATTTATGATTTTTTTTTTTTTAGAAAGATTTTTGCCTGATGGTACGTATACTCAGCAGAGAGCGAGACAGACACAGTGAGAGGGAAAGTGAGAAATCACCCCGGGGGATGGCCACGCCACAGTCCTTTCTCCTCCTTTCTCCTCCAGGAATCTTGGGCACACACGCACACGCGTCCAGCGTGAGTTTAAGCCACCGGGTCCGGGACTCGAACCGCGGTCAACTATGTGGGAGTCCAGTGACATAGCCATTCCTCCGACTGCTGGTCCCTTCCCTAGGAATGCTGGGCACGCATGCACACGTGCACGGCCTGGCTGTGAAGTCACCAGGTCTGGGACTCGAACCATAGCCAGCCATGTGGGAATTCAGCAATGTAACTGCTACTGTCTGTTGGTCCCACCATTTATGAGTTTTTGAGACGAACCCATTTAAACATTCCTTTTTCTAGTTTCGAAAGTAAGAGTCATTTCAGGAAATTTGGAGAACCCTGGCAAGTTGAAGAATGGGCAGGCCGCAGGGCCACCTATCGCCCTTTTTGGGTGGCTGCGGGGACATCCTGCAGCGGTGGCCCTTGCAGC